TATACATGGATACAGTCAGAACCAAATATTAGTTTGGAAATATCCTAGTTTAGTTCAGGTTAATATTTAGTTATTATATTATATTATATACATGGATACAGTCAGAACCAAATATTAGTTTGGAAATATCCTAGTTTAGTTCAGGTTAATATTTAGTTATTATATTATATTATATACATGGATACAGTCAGAACCAAATATGAGTTTGGAAATATCCTAGTTTAGTTCAGGTTAATATTTAGTTATTATATACACTAGGCTTTCAAGGCGCTCTGCGCCCATTTTCTATTTCAATTGTAAACATTTTCTCTCTGTATACATTGTATGAAAGACAAAAATGTAATTTTGGTCAGTTTTCCTGTGTTTGTTGGTGCATTTTCATTATTTAAGAAATTCAAATTTTTTTTGGGAGCAATGTTCTTAAATTGTGACCAGTCATAAACCTTCTCTTGAGTTTCCACTCAAAAAATGTGAAATGATCAGTTCAGCCGTTATGATGTTTATTGGATAATACAAACCAAGTATTTACATGGATTTAATATGAATAAAAAATATGAATTATTTATTATTATGAATAATATTTCAGGTTGCCAAGTTGACCGGACACAGTTTTAGAGTTCTTTACCTAGCAATGTCTCCTGATGGTGAGTTTTTATTAGCTTTCCAGGGTATTTAATTTTAAGAAAAACACCCCTCTCCCGGACCTTGGTTTGATTTGATTTGATTTGATTTGATCAAAAGATAAGTTTTTTCATTCTTCTTTATTACTTCTTACCTCAAAAAATCATTTATTTTCCCAATTTAGCGAATGAAAATCTTTTCTTCTTTTGATCAAGAAAATATACACCCCTTACCCTATCATAAAGCTGGTATGTATGTATGTATGTATGTATGTATGTATGTATGTATGTATGTATGTATGTATGTATGTATGTATGTATGTATGTATGTATGTATGTATGTAGTATGTACAACTTTGACAGTTCACAACTAGCAATATTTTTAATAATTTGATTTGAAATTGTTAATTTTTTATCATTTTGATCATTTTTCTTATTTAGGAGAAGCAATAGTTACCGGTGCAGGAGACGAAACTCTTAGATTCTGGAATGTTTTCAGCAAAGCCAGAAGTCAAAAGGTAGAAAAAACATGTTTTTATAAAATTATACATTCTTTAAATGTCATACCATTAATAATTGCTCTACACCTTTTTGATTAGGATGCAATAGTAATAGTAATAGTAATAATTGATGCGTAGTAAAGTTTTGTTATTTAAATAATTTAAATTTGCTCATTTGTATTGACATCGTTTCTAACTTGTTTGAAGTTGAAAATTCAATAAAATGTTGAATATTTGTTTTGTGCAAAATATTTGCATGAGTAAACTTCAAGGTCCAGTATACAGGTGTGTCTTATCTTTTATTTGTTTTCCTGTTTTTTAGTTCTTGAGAACTTTAAACTTAATGCAGTCATAGTGCACCAATACTTACTTCAGTTCGGCCGAACTTAAAACAATCTATGTTGTGTAGATCAACAACAAATAGTCCAGGTTCCAAGTCCCTCTCCAAGTTTTAATATTGTTTAATTTAATAACAAATGACGAATCATTAATAAAATAATTTTGTTAAAGGAATGTAAGTCTGCACTCAACCTCTTCACTAGTATACGCTAAGATTGGAGGTTGTCCTGTTCATATGAGGAGGCCATTTTGTGCATACGAGGAGGCCATCTTGTTCATGCGAGGAGGTCATCTTGTTTATACCAGAAGGCCATCTTGTTCATACGAGGAGGCCATCTTGTTCATACGAGGGGCCATCTTGTTCATACGAGGAGGCCATCTTGTTCATACGAGGAGGCCATCTTGTTCATACGAGGAGGCCATCTTGTTCATACGAAGAGGCCATTTTGTTCATACGAGGAGGCCATCTTGTTCATACGAGGAGGCCATCTTGTACATACGAGGAGGCCATATAGTTCATACAAGGAGGCCATCTTGTTCATGCGAGGAGGCCATCTTTTTCATGCGAGGAGGCCATCTTGTTCATATGAGGGTGCCATCTTGTACATACGAGGAGGCCATCTTGTACATACAAGGAGGCCATCTTGTTCATGCTAAAGGACAATTTTTCCCACCTCCAACACCTATTATATATTTATGTAAATGTCAGCTAGTCGAATTCAAGATTTAAAAATTTATTTAAAATTTTCTCTGATAGACTGGAACTAAAATTTAATTCAGATCTTTGAATGAAACTAAGCGAGATTTTGATTCAGATGAAGGCAATAATTGGAGTTTTTTTATTTTCGTAATTTCTCAATAAATTTACCAAATTGCAAAAGGAATCCGGAATTCTCGTTTATATGGCTAAAAAGTTGTAAAATTGTCTCCAGATCTGACTACTATGTCGTTCTCCAATTGTTGGGCCCTGAAATCGATACCAATTATAGTTTGGGCCCTAAACCCTACTTTTAAAAAAATGGAATTTTTCTGCAAAATATTTTTTTTTAGTTTTTTGTGCCTTCGTTTACGTTTTGTTATTGTCAGGCTTAGTTTCCAGTTGTTGAAGGTTACATTTCTAGTATATTCTTACAATATATAAATGTAAATAAATAGATTTCATTTATCTCTATCAATCATTTGTTCTGTTAATATTTTCACTTCAACAAATATTCCTTAGAAAAATCACAAAATATTGTTAAATAATCGTGTTTTAGTATGTTTGTTAATTTTGTCAGTAAACCAAAAAGAATAAATTTTTCGTGTAAATTTTCAAAAATATGAGTTTCATTTACAGCTTTAATAGGACTATGGATAGTGGAGAGGACGCTTTATTATTATTTACAACTAGAGTTTCCAATCGGAATTCCGTTGCGCGGAATTGCGAACAAGGAAGTAATTTAACATTCGCAGAATTGCGTGAAACGGAATTGCTTTTCCATCTAAAAATCAATAATTTTAAATGTGACTTACAAATTTATGCAGCAGATACAAGAATAAAAATATCTCTGTAAATTTTTAAATAATCAAGGCCGGAGTGTCACTTATTTCAATAGTTTTAAAATTATAAGTTTCGTGTGGTAAAGCTACTAACTAACAATTTAATATGATACACTTTTCATTTGTTCACATTGATTGAAACAGTAGAGTGGAAACTTTTTGGTAAAAATTGTAAGGTTCTTATAAACAATTTTGCTACAGTGAGAACCAGAAAACTATGGTACAGAATAACAACATTATAGTTTATTTGATGTCGTTACAAAGCAAAAAAAAATATTCAGTAACGTATATTAAATAACTTGTTAAGTTACATGGTTGGGTTCTGCTTGTGTTAAAAATATCGTTTTCCTATAGTTCATTGCCACTACCAAAGGGAACACAATTATTGAGAGGTTCTCTGAGAATTAAAACCCCTGAGAGAAATCAAGATTTAAGTTTACTTCAAAAGAAATCTGAAGCAAATGGTGATGGTTAAATCAAACAAACAAATGTTCAATGATCAAATATTTAGTATAAGTGCCTCAAACATTTTATTTGCTTAAAATGATGATAAATGTCAGATTGAAAACTTGGTGTTCTTGATGATGTCGGTTCAAACCACTAAGTAATTAATGGAGATGTTATTTTCACATTTAAAACCTAAAATTGCTTTTTGCTCTGTGACCTATCAAAACTAGAATATAAAAAAATATATCACAAAAAATAAAACTTTGACACTTTACAAAAATTATGCAAGGTTATAAAAGAAACTAACTTAAATCATGAAAAGTATGTTTGAAAAAAAAACAATAACTGCTATAATTATTAATTAAAGAACTTATACGTAAATGGGGGTTTGTTCATAAAGAGGATGAAGATTAAGCAAAATTGTAAATAAAAATAAGAAACTTCTTGCATTTTTAATCCTCAGCAGTAATTATGAGAAGAAATGATAGAAAACTAAAAAAATAGAGTTAACGAGTTTTTGGTATTTCCGTTGCAACAGATTTAAAGCCTTTTTTCAAGATAATAAGATAATATATCTTTATTAAGACATTAATGAGAGCCAGATAACTTTGGAAGGATCGTCGTCTTCACTTTCTTTTTATCAAGATATGTCGCTAAATATTTTGTAATTTGCAGTTGAGTAATTTAATTTCTTCATCTTAATCCTAAATGAATAAAAACGTAATATTTACAATTCATCGCCTTCATTTTGAAAAAGACCGAGGCACTGCAGATTACTCGCCTGAATTGCACTTTATCTTATATCTACAAATATCAGCTTATTGTAAAGTTACATTTTTTTCCTTTGTTTTCTCAAGTTTTTTTTAGAATAGTCAAAGTTTGTAATATAAAGGCCCTTTTTTACCATCAGAACGTTGCAAAGATACAGGAATGAATACAATATGAATTTATGTACAATAGTTTAAATAATAGTTTATACAAAAAAGTCAACGTATAGATTAAAGATTCTATAATTTTTGCTTTCACGTAAACACTGCAAATTATCAATTTAGGTTTATAATATAGTAATCTTATATGTACGTGTGTTGTATGTAACAAAAATGAAATAGTGGAGGCTTAAGGGTGAGGGGGGGACCCTTGGATTAAGGTTGGGGGGGGGACCCTTGGACAAATTTTGGATACAACTTGAGCAGGCAAATTCTCTAGCCCTTTAATTTTTTTAGATTCCCACCCCCAGACACGTCAAGGTTTTGACATAAAAATATCCTAAATCTATTCATTAAACTCCAGGTGGGAGATGTCAACTCTCCCCTGGGCATGGTGTATCCCATATTCAATGCTTGTACGTAGGAGTTTCTCTAAAGACTGTTTGAACATTTTTTAAAGAAACACTAAAGAGAGTCTTTAGCACACTATGGGAAACCATGGTAACTAGAGACTGATGGACTGAAACTTAAAAAAGAATGAAGACATAGACCTAAAACACATACTTTAAAATAATTCAAAATCCAATCAGAGAAAAAAAATGTTACACATCAAAAGATTTTGCGACTTTAATACTGAATTTTCGATCATTTCTTTGTCAGTGATTTTTGGAAGTTAGAAGAGAGGCATTCATGCATTGCCCTCGACCTAGGAGATGGTTTGTATTTTGAATCAACCTGTTCAACAATTAAACTACCTCCCCTATACCTTGTCCATCTATATTATCTATATATATTATCTATATTGTTTTATTAGAAGAGCAACAGGAGTTTCTGAGTTAAAACATGAACATTGTAAACCTGTAAACTTGTAAACCATTGTCAGGACTTGTATCCTAGTTCATTGTTTTAACAGTTTTAAATCTTTTCAGTTTTTTACAGCACTCCCCCCACCCTTTCATCTTCAAACTTGTAATTATGGAAACACGTTAAGTAGTTTTGAGAATCTATTTTATCTACGTTTTAGTTAAAACTACCTGAAGTGCCCGGTGTTGCATGTTCCCAAAACAAAATTTGAGGCAAATCGGTCAAAGTATTTACGAGTTGTGAGAGAATACTACTTTAAATATATATATATATATATATATTCTTAATCCGACTGAATTGTTAAATTTTAAACAAAGAAGCAACAATTGAGAACCTTGGTGATTAACCTTGCAAAAATCGAACATTTTCCCTGGTAGTGCAGTGCAGACATAATCAAATAAATATTGATATGTTTACAGATGTCATTGCGGGTTCGGAGCAATAATGACTGCATATTAGGGGTGTGAAATCTAGTGAAACTTTTCTAAAATCATTTTACAGAAGCAAAATACTATTACACTTGGAATTGTAAGGCATGTTTATAAAATACATTTTTTCACAAAATTTAAAAATGTGTTCTTCAAATGGGGTTTAAGAATAAATCATTAGTGTTAGCGAAAATGAAAAATTTGACAATATTGATAATTTAGAGACTATTTAGAGAATTGAAAAATATTGAAAATTGGGCAAGTTATGTCCAAAATAGTTTTTTTCTTTGAATAAATTTCATTAAAGTACTAGAATAGTCTTTTTTGACCTTACTCAGTCAAATTTTATTTTTTTTCGATTCTGTAAATTGATTTAAATCCAGAAATTCAATTCGGTTCCAATGATACCCAATTCAATAAGTATTTCAAAAATTTTCATTTTTACTTGTACTAGTGACTTTTTAAATATTAACCCCCATTTGATGGGGACATTTTTGATTTTTGTGAAAAATGTATTTTATAAACATGGCTTAATATTTCTAGTAGAATTCTGTAAAATTGTTTCAGAAAAATTTCACACCCTTACTGCATATTAGAAATATTTGTTAGTTTCCAGAATATCTCAAATATATTGTTTTTATTTCACACGGATTTAGCCATCCTACCTTTGTTGCAACCCAGCTCTTCCCCCTTCAACCCTGCTCTTCTCCCTCCAACCCTGCTCTTCCTTCTTCAACCCTACTCTTCCCCCTCCAACCCTGCTCTTCCTCCTTCAACCCTACTCTTCTCCCTCCAACCCTAATCTTCTCCCTTCAACCCTACACTTCTCCCTACAATCCTACTCTTCTCCCTCTAACCCTTCTCTTCTCCCTCCAACCCTGCTCTTCTNCAACCCTACTTTTCTCTCTACAACCCTACTCTTCTCCCTTCAACCCTACTCTTCTCCCTTCAATCCTATTCTTCTCCCTTCAACCCTACACTTCTCCCTTCAACCCTACTCTTCTCCCTCTAACCCTACTCTTCTCCCTCCAACCCTACTCTTCTCCTTTCAATCCTATTCTTCTCCCTTCAACCCTACTATTCTCTCTCTAGCCCTACTCTTCTCCCTCCAACCCTACTATTCTTCCTTCAACCCTACTATGCTCCCTCCAACCCTACTTTTCTCTCTACAACCCTATTCTTCTCCCTTCAACCCTACACTTCACCCTACAACCCTACACTTCTCCTTACAACCCTACTATTCTCCTTCAACCCTCCTCTTCTCCCTCTGACCCTACTATTCCTTCTACCATTGTATTCTCCACCCATCTTCCTGAAATCAGATTGTTTAAATACTAATCTAAGAACTGTTTTATTGCAGGCCGTAAATGCAAACTTAAATAATCTCTGGTTCTGTTAGTAAACAAAATTGAAAATAAGAGTTGTAAGAAATATATATATATTTTTTTTTGAATTTTGATAAAAGAGGGGAATTAAAGTACTAAGCCAATGAGGCGGATTATAAGGTTTGATTGAAAGAAAACAATTATTGAAACTTGAATACACGAGAAATTAGGTAAAGAAAAGAAGGAAAGAAGAATAATTAATCTACTTAAAAATAAATGTAAGTAGAAACATAATATTTGACGGGGAAATGGAAAATCTATTTGTGAAAGTTGGATAATCCCATCTTGGGTGTTGGATCAACATTCCTCTTGGCTCCAACAGGTCTCTTCTACACCTGCAGTATTCAGTAGTACCCAGAGATAAACCTACTTCAAACTCAACCCACGCTATGCATAGTGCAAACAATATGCACATCTAGAGGATTTCTTTAGATTTAATTCAATACGTTCCTCCCCCCCTCCCTCCTCCCTCTTTCATGCATTCTTTTAAAGATACAATCGTTCCTAGATAGATGTACACAGAACTTTTTACTCCTGGTTTACAACATCATGTTTTCTGATTGAGATTATCTAAAC